TGGAGAGGTTTTTCTGTGCCAGACACCAAGTCTGTGCTGAAGATAGAAAGGAAATGACAGAGCTCACTGACTAGCTTGGGAGACAAATTGCAACACATGGGTGAATTCTGGAACCACATGTGCACAAACCGTGAGATATGCCCAGATGATGGTCAGGTATTTGCTAAGAGTCTTCTTAGATCTGTGTTTGAAGAGACAGGAAAGAGTCCCAGTCTCAATAAAACCGCCCCCTTCCAATCAATGGTTGAAGGTCAGGACACACTGTTTTGCTCTTCCAGCTCAGGGCTGAGCTGGTTCCTGTGCTTCCCAGTAGATGGCAGTAGACATCACATTTAAGTTCTTCGGTGTCTAGAAAATCCTCTTTATGAGAGCAGAACTCTTTGAAGGACCTATTTCACCAGAACCATTGTTTCCTGCGGCTTTCTCTCTTGTCTCTCTTGATGAGGTCAGACTCATCCTTTGCCTATTTTTCTCGCTCTTCACTCAGTACCCCACCTGCTCTGCTTTGTTACGATCTGCCTCTTTTTCCTCCCATGCATCTCGAGAGAGAGCATGCTTCCCTGCAATCAAGGAGGCCTGAGGTGGGGGAACACTGCATGGACACAGAGAAGCTTTTGCCTTCCAGCCTATAGTTTTAGAAATCATGGTGAGAAATCGAGCAATGGGTAATGTTAATACGGTGTGAAGGAGCTTAAATCTAGGAAGTGCATAGAAATAAAAATGTAGCAAGATCCCTCTGGGCCTGAGCTGGCGTGTCAAATTTTCTGCCGTCATGTAAGTCATTTAATAGTAGTAAATTAGTAGATATGGGGAGGGGTGGTGAAAATAAAATTTGATTGAAATAATGGACTTGTGTTTTTCAGTGCAAGCTGCATAGTGGTCTCAAAAAAGAAATGTCCGAGTCTTACCCTCTGGAACCTGTAAATGTCACCTTATTTGGAAAAGGGTCTTTGCAGGTGTAGTTAAGAAATCATCCTGGATTAGGGCAACCCTAAATCTAAAGACAAGGTCTTAGAATTGAAGGGGAAACAGGGGAGACACAGAGGAGAGGCCATGTGAGGACAGAGGCAGAGTGGAGAGATGCCCACATGCCAAGGATTGCTAACAGCCACCAGAAGCAAAGAAAGAGGCACCTAGCTCTCCTTCAGAGCCTCCTCAAGGAACCGACCCTGGTGACTCCCTGACTGAGGATCTTCGGCCTCCCTAATTGTGAGAGAATAAACTTCTGTTGTTCATGCCACCTAATTTATGGTGATTGGTTTCAGCAGGCACAGGAAATGAATATGTTGCCTAAAAGGATTTTGTCTGGCTGCTCCACAGAACCAGAAACTGTATGGCCTCTGGGCCATATGTACCTACAGATGTCTTTAGTTAACCTTCAGAGGACATTTTATATAAAATCTGGATCTCTGGCTTCTTTTGAAAACTTGGAAGCTCTGGCAATGCCAGGCTTATGTCCTAACTTGGCTAGAATAGGTAAGCATCTGGCCCTTTTAGATTGGCCATGTCTGCTACAGTCCCCACTGCTTTATCTGCCTCCTTCCTGCATTTGTTACATGCCTGCCTCTGTAGGTATTTGAGTCTGTGGCTCCTGTAAATGCATCAGGATTGGTGGGTTAGGAGATAGAATCTTTTCTGTTAGAATGGGGAGAATTTGTAGTAAGTAGTTTTGGGAGATTTATATATAGTGGCACAGTGTACAAGATGATTCTGAGATGTGGTTGCTCAGCAAAATTGCCTGCAGATTGACCATTTTCCATGGAAGACCCCAGACCTACCACATTGAATCTTGGGTGTGTATGTGGAGTGATGGAGAGAATAGGGGTAGTGCCCAGGAATCTGCATTTTTAAAGCTCTCAAGCAATTCTGATTGAAAACAGGCCTTAGAACAGCTGCTATGGGTTGTTATCTCTAGGTCTAAAACAGGGAAGCAGTGTAGGTTTCTTATCCCACTGGAGATTTTCAAAGCATATTATTTTAAAACAATATTTTCTGAAGAAAATTGGAATTATTTGCAATATTTTGTCAAGCTTAGGGTTTGACTCCATTGACTTCTTTCTATGTATCATCAAAACAAGGTAGTCATTTTAATGACAGCACAGACATGAACCCCTAATTAGTATTATGATGATATGTTTTATTTATCCAGGCAATATAGTCATAGAAATTTTTTTCTCCCTGTTTTGGTGGAGGTTGGGAACAAGCTGAGAAGAGGATCTGCAGGGCTGGCTGACCTGCTGGCGGAGCCGGAGGAGTACCATCTGTAGGCATAGTATTAGCTGGGTAGAGATTTATTCTACAACTCTGAAGTAATGATTTCCAGCTTCCTACTTTAAAATATTCCTGGATCTCTACTGATCTCCTGAGGATACTAGTAGACCACCTGAAGGAACGAGTAAGGAAATGTGGTGGGCATATTCATAGAAAGTTGTTAGGCAAAATGAAATTATTATAATTTTAAGGAAAAGTTATATACATTTGGCAATTCTGCAAAGTGTTACATACAGATTCAGTTCACATGTATCTTATTAAATGGTTCCTTTATTTGATAAGCACTTATTCAGTGCCAGACACTGTTCCATTGCACTAGAAATATTGCAGTGAATAATAATAAAAGCCCCTGCTTTCATAAGCCTTATGTTTGGCAATGAAAAATGAAAAGATTATTTCTTTAGTATGTGGCTGGTGCTTTTCATAGAAAGCATGCTTGTTATATGGATTATATTAATTTATTAATTTTTGAGGCATCTATGCCAATATGTCTTGCAGAAAAACAAAGCTGACTTCTCACTGAATGCTATTAGTCCACAGAAGCCATGAAGTGCAATTTTCAAGTTTCAAGGGTAGCAGCAATTGAAGATTTGCATACCTAGTATTCTCTTTACAAGCAAGGGTATTTTCTCATGGCCACCTCAGCATCTGTTTCACCATTCAGAGTATGAATGAGCTCTGGGCCATTTGGAAACTGGACAACAGAACAATTTTCTACAAAGTGTCTTCTGAATGGGCTAGGCCATCCAGTCCATCCTCTGGTTATCATATGGAGCATCCAGGTCTTACCACCAAGCCACGGCTGGGGATGTCATTCTTAAATTCCTGCTCCCCTAGACAGCACAGTCGTAATAGGGAGGGCTGGCCAATGATTATAAGGATAGACTGGACTGATCCCAGGCCATCTACTCATGAGAAGGGGCAGAGCCAGAGCTAGAATCTATACCTCTAGGCTTCCAATCCAGTTCTTTCTACCGCACCATGCCAACCATCTTTTCTCTGTAAGCACAAGATGATCCTGTGCAACAAGATATAGCAACATGAAGATTGTAAAATGTAATCTCTGTTTTGCTATCAAATCAGGATTGTGGGACTGAGAAAAATCACAGCTGCAAAAGTCAGGGGTGCTACCAAAACACAGAACTGCAGTGACTCCAGGTGTGCCAGTCAGAGCAGA